CTAAGGTGTCATTCCTTCAGGCTATAAGATACATGGTGTGATATTTTTGTTTTGTTTAAATGTTTTCACAAAGTGTACATTTAAAGGTCAACCATATAAAAAAGAGTAGCCACATAATTCAAGATGCTGCTTGTAGGACTAAAACCTGTGATTTCAAGGTCACATAGCTGCAAGTCCAGCAACTCACACATTAATGATAGAATATGCTTTTCAGTCACGTGCAAACCCACATTAATTGCCTAACATATTCATGACATACTAATGTTTCTCTTGGTGCCTAGGAAGTACCTAACCAATAGAGTACATATATATGACATTTATTTTATATAATAAGTAATAGAAAGTTAGTTGGTGTCAATAAGCTGTCACAGTTAGACAAAGTGTACCTTATCACATTTAACTTCGCCCATGATGGAAGTATTGTTCTTTCTATTGTTTAAAGATAAGGGCCTTGGCGCACTGGTTGAGCTGCTGGACTTGCTGCTATGTGACCTTGAAATAACAGGTTTTAGTCCTACAAGCAGCATCTTGAATTACGTGGCTACTCTTTTTTAGATGGTTGACCTTTTATAAGATATAACTTTAAGTATAAATGTGGTATCAAATCTGATGAGCCTAAGAGTGAAACCATAGTCACATGGTTCGCGGTACGGTTCGATACGGGAACGAGGAACGGGAACACGGTTTGCTAGATCTAGCGTATCCGATTCGGAGGGGGGTAGGTTCATTTCGGTACGCGTTCGATACGATGTACCATATGTTCAGTACGCCGTACCTAATTTTTTGGTACTATAATAAAAATATAAAACTGAATTATAGAATACAGATTACTTTGTCAAACAAAAAAAAGAATACAGATTTCAACATTGAACAAAAACAGAGCATCTTCCCTCAATTTATAACAGTTAATTAAAATGTAAAATTGATGAGTAGGAATAATTAGGATCATCAGAAAACGAAGAGCTGTCTATAAAAAAACGAAGAGCTGTCTTTCAAAAAAAAAACAACGAAGAGCTGTCTTTAAAAAAAAAGAGCTGGTTGGAAATCGGTACGCCTATTATTACAGGCGTCTGAAACGAATCGTATTAATACTCAAACCTGGGCGTCTCAAACGAGTCAAACGACGTTTTATTTTTCCTTTTCAAATTGCGATCGATGGGGAACAATCCACGGAACGACCTGCGTTGATTTTCCGATCGCGTTTGAAGACGACTGAGGTCGCATCAGACGGCGATTGCGCTCTCTTCCAGGTGCGATTGGGATCGACTGGCACAGCGTACCGTAGAGCGTTCCATGGTGCGACCGGATCGCTTTCGTACCACGATTGGGTACGCAGCGATCGGTTGCAGATCGCGCCTAGTGTAGCGATTTATGTATCTGAGTGAAACCACATACTTTAAGAATAATCTCATTTAACATTCAACCTTAAAGGATCTGTGATTGGAAAATGTATGTGTCATGATAATCTTTCGGGCATCTTATTTAAGCTATTTTAATGCAATAACTCTTGAGTCTTCCATTAGTAATGTGTTTATTGATTTGTATTTTAGCAAAGAAATTGCAGATGGTGTTAGCAAATCTGCTCAAGCTATGCAAGCAGCAAAAGCTGGTGTTAGACGAATAGGTTCTCTTGCGCACCAACACACAATGTGTAAGAAAACATTTATTTTCCTTTTCCATTCAAGATTTTTCCCCTGGGTTTTTATATACCAATCTCCTTTTATAACATTCTCAAGTTGATCTTTGAATTAAATAGCAATGATCGAGGAAAGGGCAAACCTGCCAGTCATATCTGTGAAGACAGTTGTTGCTGGGGTAGCAAAGAAAACCTCTCAAGCTGTTGGTCAAGCCGCCAAAAAGTTAATACCTGGGAACCGTAATGATTCAAGTAGTGAAGACAATTGAAGAACCTATGCTCATCTGGGGACTGGGAGTCTGGGACCGGCCAGATTTCAGTTAACTGCTTCTGGGGTTTTCTTACTTTGGCTGAGCCCCCATCGGGTCGCTAGACCTTTTATTTAAGGACTGTGTAGTGCATTTTTGAGCGCTTGTTATAAGTGGTACACGGAGTCACGGACCACACTTGAATATTTTTTAGTTTGGAAGTTGCGTGCTGATTCGTTTATTTAGGGTGACATCCATTGGTGTTGTATCGCAATTTATACCGTCCAATCGGCATACCATGTGCATGGTATGCCCGGTTCTAATACGGTGCCGTTCTTATGCAATTAAAATCGTTTCTCGGATCCATCACGGTCTTTTTCTTCTCTAGCACCCTTCCCACAACCCACTCAACTGACCCAAGGTTTCCTTCACCAAAATTTTATTCTTCTCATGCTTCCACTAACTTTTTATCCACTAACTTTTCTTCCTTGCTTTCTCTCTTGCGCTGCTTTTCGTTTTGAAAATTGAAGCAAATTCTATTGCTTTGATGTAAAAGGCTGCTATGAATCGATTCAGATTAATACTTCGTATAAACTTCTCCATTCAGATTAATCTAACATGCTTTGATCGATGAGGTTAATTGGTTTTTACGTATAAAATGGAGTTACACTCTTTAATACAAATTTACATCTTAAGTTACATGGAGTTACATCTTTTTATGAACGAGTTACATATTTATGTGCATGAGTTACATCTTTTTATAAGCGAGTTACATTTGGACTTACCTCAACAACTTACATTTGTCATCAATGCGTGTTACATTTATAATAATTAGATTCTCTTTTTTCATTGTTTACATTGAAATCAATGTTTTATTTCGTATATTATGTATTTGACAAGTTACATCTCATTTGGGCTTGAGTTACATTGATCAAGAACGTGAGTTACATATCTTTACATGCGAATTACATCATCCATGTTACTGGGATGAAAATAAAAAAAACATTGTACACACGTGTACTGTTCACACGAATTTTTATTTATTTAAAATTGATCAAAGCTACGTCGTTTTGGGGTGTGAAGCATGGTGCTCACCATGCTCCGGTTGCACAGTATACGGACTGGTGTTGTATGCTTGTTCGGAGTGACTGATCTTACATGTGTTATATACTCCGTAATAAGGGAGTGTTTGGTAGATTTAAAGAACTTGAAAAACAATGTGGTCAATAAGAACCGTCTCTGTTTTTAACGATAAGTCCTTGAAGAAAAATGAAAAAAGAAATTTATGAACATCTTTTTCCTCTTCTTTTATAATACTCCCTCCATCCCTCAATGTTTGTCCTACTTTCCCGAAATGGAAGTTCCAAAATGTTTGTCCTACTTTTTTAACTTCCTTATTTGGCAAACAAATCTTTATCGTGCAAAACAGTGTCAAATTAAGATAAACATTGAGGGACGGAGAGAGTATGAATTAATGATGGGGGTATTGGGGTTCATGGCCTTGCTCATTTTACTACAATAAATAATACAGACTTAAATTAGATCTATGAAATGAAGGGCCGCCTTATTTCATTACACTGGTCATACAAATAGAATCAGGAGTCAGGACCAGTGATACGTCAAGCTCGGGCCAATTCTTTTCCAATGGCCATTGTTGCAGACTTGAAGTCATGCCACCGGTTAATAAGAACTTGGTAGGGTAAATGAGTAGGGTAGGGTTGACCCATAACAGATAGGGGTTGGGGAAGGGTAGGGTAATTTCATTTCTTATAATTCACTCCTATAAGTCTATAACTGCCATGCTACATTGCTCTTATTTGAATAAATTTTACTGTTGGTTCTACGAGTTTTAGGTCAATTTCACGTTAAATCCACATCTTTCACTTTGTCACTTTTCATACATAATTATTGTGTTTTTGCCCATATATCTTCCTTCCGGCATTATTTTCGATGATTAAAATCACCGGAAAAGGACCACAGACGGTTAAAAATATTAATTAAGTACCAAAAGTGGATAAAGTGAAAGATGTGGAGTAAAGGTGAAATTGGCACAAAACTCGTAGGATCAAAAGTGGAATTAATTCCTCTTATTTCATCTGATCGACTTTTCAATCTCTTCTACACAATCTCTATATCTCACTAAATTCATTGTCAAGTTTGATCAAGAAAAAATTTGCACTTAAAATTTGTGGGAAGGAGACAGGAATAACACTAATATCATTAATAACATATGAAAGTGTCAAAGAAACTAAGACAACCAAATAAGAAAAAGTGACAAACATTAATAGTGTGGACGGGGGGGTACATATCAGATTATCATGTAATCATATGCTCTATGTCATATTGTAGACCTCTATTACACTATTTAAATGACAGTACAAAAATTCTTCCACCACTTCTACACCAAACTCCGGTCTTTTATAGAACCTCGTTTCATGGAGGTGATTAATTGAGATTGTTGATATAATGAAGAAAGTGAAGCAACTACTGAACTACATATACTGATATACTATGATTTCTCCGATACTAAATAGAAAATACGTGGGCAACTTAAATTTAGTACTAGTATGAGGCTATGAGCTAAATGCATGCCTTCATTTCCAATTTCTAATTTCAAAATTTTCTTTTTTAAAAAAATAATCATTCCTGCATTTCTTAGTGCAATTCTCTTCTCATATATACAGTATACTATTCCTACATTTCTACCGTATGCTTTAGATCCTCATCAACTATATTTCTTCTTCCCAATTGAGTACTTGAAATGTAACTGAAAGAGGATTACGAAATTGAGTAATGAGTAACACTAGTGCACTAGTAGTTAAATAAGAACAAGACGAAATTCAAAATATAGAATATAAAATTTATTTATGTAAAATTCATAATATATACGGAATATCACCTCTGTCCCGGTGACTTTGCCAAGTACAAAATGACTGAGAAATGAAAATAATAAATTGGTTGAGATTTGTGTAGAGGAGAGAGAAATGTACAGAATCACAAATTAGTAATTTTAATAGGGAGCTGGCAAAGTTTTGTGAGAGAACCAAAAAGAGAAATTTGGCAAAATCCAATGGGACGGAGGAAGTACTAACCAACTTAGTAGGTCCGTAGGTTTGTAACAATTTCTCACTCAGTATTTCAAAAGGCTACGTGTCATTATAAAGCACGATGGTTGCCAAAACTCAGAGCTAATACTGAGGTCAATGAGGTTTGAACTTTGGGGTGAAGTGGGGGATGGGTTTACAAGAAATCATTGTACCAAAACAGCATTAGAGCTTTAATACCAAATTGCTGGAAAAGTTATTTACAAGAGATGAAAATGCTACAAGGCCTATAACAAGTAGGCCATCTCCGAAATCCAAAATTTTGAGTTCACTTATTGATGCACATAAAGTGATCCCATATAAACTTTAAATCATCTCCAAGCAATTGCACCACTTTGTCATTTTCAAATGTTTGCTTCTGCAGTTCAAGTAGAAGAACAAGACAAAAAATAAGAGGAGCTCTTCTTTGCAGTATATGTTTATATGGAGTTACCATAGGAAACAAATGTTGATGCCACTACCACACTGATAATGTATGTCTTGTGCACAGATTGAATACAACCTAGAAATGTAGCATAACTGTCAGAAAACAAAGCTCACCTGCATCAGCGCTACAACTCCGTGCATTTTCAGAATAACCTCCCCTGAAACCTCACCAGATGATGTTCTGAAATCAAATCGATCTGCACGTCGAACCTTAAGCCTGAATGATGAACTTCTGTATGTTTTAGCACTGGTATGCCAGACACCAACTATAGTGTACCGACCTCCCAATGTATCCTTCCCAAGTGGCCATCGAAGCCCACCCTTAATGTCTGGATCGAGAATGGCACAAGAAATTAGAGCTTTTATACAATCTTCTTCGTCGTCCTGAAATATACAAAGGGTTTCCAGATCACAATATCTGTGACAAACTCAGTTAAAAAGAAGACGAGTGTGAGCAAACAGAGCCAAATAGAAACCAACAAAAATATGAAAGAGATAGGTACTAATTTCCAGTGTGTTCTTGAATATTAGAAAATGAAAGGTTGAAAGTTTACATGATTCTCATAGAGATAAGGGGCTTACAGTTAAAGATATCACAATTCTCTTGGTATTAAGCATTAACCTCAAATCTAGGCTCTTCCGAAGAAAAGACATGTCCACAACCAGGTGACGCACCTGGTTAAACTCAATCTGTGGTAAAGAAATTATAAAGATGAGGCAGCACCAGTGTATAGACACATGCTGTCATACTCCATACAACTTGTTAATCACCAGAGTTATAGACACAACAAAATACATTCTCATGAAAGCTCTGGTGCAAATATACACATTACCATCCTGCTGTCATGGAATGTTAGTAGAAACCTGCCTTGTAGAGTTCAATGCTTTTACAATCTTTTCGCACAGCACATTTACATGAGATTGTTGAATCAGGCTGTAAATTATCAGAGATCTACACACAGCAAACATAAGAAAAACCATTAAAATGCTATTCTATTAAAACGTAGGTGAAAAAAGAGGTAGCTGAAAGATGTAAAAGCGAAAAGGCAGTACCTTAACATGGTACAACTCCTTATCCCCCTCAAAGTCAAGTCCAACTTTTTGAACAATTTCGTTTGTTAGGTGTTCCATATATGAGAGAGGAACATTAGTGTAAAAAGATCTTTTCGATGTTCTCAAACTGCTTTCAGTCCATGAGTGTAAAGATGAAAGATTTCTGCATTGAGAATCTTTTTAAAGTCATGTGCTTTGCAGAAAATGCATGTGTGGAAGTAATTACATTGAACAAATTTGTATTAGAATTACTTGATTCATATTTACATACTATCTCAATGCATCTTGATGGACTGAGACCCTGTATAAAATGAAATGAAACAACATACCGGGGTAGTAGTTTTTTTATTATTATCATTTTAAGACATCAAATTAGTTAGGTGAATGTTAAGTGTCTTACATTAGATGATTACCAGGTTTGTATCTAATACTTCGTAAAGCAGTGAATATATCAACATGTGCAGCATGTTGTTAAAATTATCATCATAGAAACAAATAAAGGAAAATATAGTCATAAACAGAGTATCTTTTAAAAGCATAAACATAAAATGAATGCTTGAATTCAGAACTCTAAGGGGGTGTTTGGATCTGATTCTTAAAACTGCTTCTGCTCCCTGAGGGAGCAGAAGCAGAATCTGGAGTGTTTGGGTGAAAATGCATAAGTGATTCTGGTGCTCCTTTTTACTCATAGAATCAGTTTTTTAGAAGCTGAATCTTCGCGCAACCTGAAAACTGATTCTGATTCCGAGATTCTGAAGCTGAATTGATGTCCGAGTAATTTGTGGGGTGACCAGCTTCTGAAAACTGATTCTGATTCTGCTTCTACTTTAAAAAAGAAGCAGAAGCAGAATCAGTTCCAAACACCCCCTAAACCACTGACCCGTGAAAGAGAACTCTTCCAACGCGGGCAACTAGAGTTGGCTTTACTCCATCAAGTTCATTTTCCAGAATTTCGCTCTTCACCCTGTCGAATGCTGCAAGCAAGTCCTGCTTCACATTTTCAACAACAAAAACCCACGGTTTTTCCACAAACGCATCCTCTCTCTCAGCAGAGTCGTCTACAGCATAAAAATATGGAAAGAGAAGGCCGTAAATATCAGTCACACGCCATACTTATCAGTTGTATGACATTACATGTAATGCTAACAGCAAATATTAAAGCGCAATTACTTATACCTCACGCTTAGGTTGAAATTCTTTTTTCGAATATGGAGAGGGAAGAACAAGTAGAATAGGATGTCATACCTTTCAGAACCAAAACAAGGGGGGTTTCACCCGATTTTTTCGCGAAGGATCCGAGTGATACCGGCTCGAATCTGGTGAGAGCTGAAAGGTTGCGCGAAGATTCATCTTCCTTGTCCGAGTTGGGCAAGCCGACCCCGAACCACTTAGAAATCGCGTTGTCTGCGTAGATAAGTTTGGACCCCTTGTCCTTCCGGGTGCTCCTGCTGTTTGAGTTCCGGTCACTTAGGCTTAGATTTTTGCGAAAATGAGGGGGCAGAAGAGACTCCGGCGCCGGAGAGGAACTAGAGTGGCGCTTGTGGGGAGGAATATAAGCCATGGCAGACTGGAAGCTACGGCATATGCTGAGATGCGTGTAATTAAGAAGCTGTTCTCGTCTTGTAAAATCTGGTAGTGTTAATTTTTTAAAGACGTGGCATTGCATTTCTAACTTTTATCATAACTTACCCCAAAAAATAAAAAACTTTATCAAAACTTCATTAATGGATCAATTGAGTAGCTCAAGTTATATGGGTGGACTAAAAAGTACTCCAATACAATATAGTGTACTCCCTCAGTCTCAAATTAAATTACAAAAATTAACTTTTTGAATCAAACACAATCATTCTATTCACTTAATTAAGATACTTTGTGAAGCTTTTTAATTAAATTTTAATGCAGGTTTTGCAACCTTATAATTTTAATTTAGTTTCTAAATATGTAAATTTTAATTATTAAAATTAAGTTAATTATCCGTAAGGGGGGTTTAACTTTAACTTTGATTGACCAAAAAATGTTGACTTTATAAAATAATTTGAGACTGAGGTAGTATTTGACATTCGGCCAACGGGAATGCTAATAGGTCGACTTCATGAAGGTTGACGCTAGTCCCCATCCCCTAGGTCGACTTCCCCTTGATCGACGTCAGTCCCCCGCAAGTCGACTTTCACTTGGTTGATGCACCCCCGCAGGTTGACGCCCTCTGCCAGTCGACCTCTGAAGGCCAATTTTTCCTTTGTGCTCGACGCTAGAACATTGGTAGACTACTACTTCTTACTCAACACTCCATTAGTCAACTCAGTTATATTAACGTTTTAATACCTATCCAATTAACACTAAAACCCCGAATTAATGTGCTTGGGAATGTCAAATGTAATGTAGTGTACTTTTTACTCCACCTCATACAAGTTGAAGTACTCGATTGATTTTATCATGTTTAATTAACATTGGAAACCTATTCTTATTTATTTTAATTAAAATTCACCCTCCCTTCCTATCTTTTTCTTCCTCTCCTATCCAAGATTATCAGTGCCAAACTGCCAGCGGTGGCCTCTGACATCTTGCTTGCTACTCTAATTATATACGGAGTATTTAAGTTTGAGAAAAAAGGCAAATACGCCCTCAAACTATTTGTGATTCTGCAATCAGACCTTCAAATCAAAGACCTTCTAAATACATCCTTCTACTCATTGAAATAAAGCGATAAAGTTCTTTTATTGGAATCAGTAAGTTCTCACGAGAAAGTTACTATCTTATTGGTATCAGTTAGGAAAAAGAGATCAATTGTTTTATTCCAATGGATCGAGGGGCATATTTGCAAGTTCTTTCTGTTTAACAGTCTGACTGCAGAATAAATAAATAAAATAGGATTATTTTCCTTTATCTCTCTTTAAGTTTTATGTTTAGTCTAAATTCATCTATTTTATTTTGCACTAAAATGGTGGTCTGATCTGATATGATGTGTATTCTATTATTACTAGATTCTCACCCGTGCGATGCACGGGGCAAAATATAATCAAATCATATAAAGTTTTGTTTATATTAATGATAAGAAATAAAATTCAAGATTGGCAAAATATAATGTACTTCATATAAAAGAATGAAAAGAGGACGAAGTTAGAGAATAATACTCCATCTGTCACAAAAAATACTGCCAGATTTGACTTGACATGAATGTTAAGAAATGGATAATAAAGTTGAAATGTATAATTGTGGTTGAGAAAAAAAGGTAAATAAATGTTAGACACACAAAATTTTCCAAAAAGGGGAAATGTGAAAATTTTTCGAGACATCCCAAAATGTTAAGTTTGAAACTTTTTATGGAACGGAGGGAGTATGTTACATACTCCATATTAAATACTCGCAGTTAAGATTTCAGAGATGTTATCATTTACTTAAAATTCTAAAACACTTCTTTGTAAACAATATTAGTAACAACCATGCTTGTTGTACCCAGCACTTTGTACCCACCTTATACCCACCTCTGTGAAGACTATTTTTTTTGTTTGTGAAGCCAGTTCACAGACAAAATATGTCTTTGAATTGCTTCACAGACATATTTTGTCTGTGAAGGAATTCACAGACAAAAAAGAATAACTTCACAAATATGGGTGGGTACAAAAGTGGGTATAAAAATGGGTACAAACACCATTTTCCTATTAGTAATATGTTGATCATTATCTTCACAAATCAATATTTTCAAAACTTTACTATATGATTTGCAAATCTTGAAAAAAGAGACAAACAGGGGCGGCCCTAGGGGGGGGTGCAAGTGGGGCGGGCGCCCTAGGCCCAAAAAATATGGGTAAAAAATAGGCCCAAGTTTAGTTCTTTGTAACAAATGTGAGTAGGCTGATTTTTCGGCCCTAAAGTAACAATTTTTCGAGTGGAATTTGTTGAAGTTCTTCTGAATGGATTTTTTAGCGAAACTTAGGATCATGTTTTCTGTGAAGTTTAGAGTATGTGAGAAAAAATCAATTTAAAGTTTAATTTAGAAGTCACCTAAATAAATTATTGAAAACAACTGCTTTTTTATACATATTTGGGCGCATTGTGTTTCAATAATTTATTTATCTGACTTCATGATTGCATTTTAAACTGAAATTTTATGGACATAATCTACACGTGATGAAAAACATTCTCTTGAAATTTCATAAAGAAATTCCACTCCAAAGCATATTAGTCTGATATGATTATTTGATTAGTTTATTAATTGATTCCATTCATGGTTGTTTAATATCTTAATTGTTGATTGTTTTCTATTGAGTGTTGGTGTTATAACTTGTTGATTTTGTTAGACAAACATTTTCAATTATGATAAAATATATATACTTAATTAATTTCAAAGTGTAATAAAAAGGATTGAATTTGATTACGATAAATACAAAATAATAGAAGATTAGAGAAAGAGGCGATAAGAAAAAAACTCAATGGAAAAGTTTGTTTGTGTAAAGAAGTCAAATTCTGAATGTCCTTCTCAAGATGAAAACACAGTCAAATTCTAAATGTCTTGAAATACTATTATTATTATAATTATTATGCATGTCATTTAAGATAGAAAAGAGTTCTACAATTTTTTTGTAGCATTAGGCCCATTTTAGTTTTTCGCCCCTAGGCCTTCGAACATACAGGGCCGCCCCTGGAGACAAAGATTGACTCGGCTCGTGTTATATTGCCATTGTATATAACGTCATGATCGGATATTGTCTTCTATCAATTGGTGCATCTGATAGTGTAATTCTCAATCGTCCGATAAGTACTTCTTGACTATCATATTTTCCACCAAAAATTTTGTACGTAACATCCAAAAAAGGAAAATGAAGTCCCGTTCACGGAGTGAATGCATAATAAACATATTTTTTTATTCAGAACAAATAAAACTAACCCATTTTTTAATCTCAAATATAAGAACTGTATTTTATTATATTTAGAATTAATAAATTAAGTTTTCTTATCTCAGTAAGTTCTCACGAGAAAGTTACTATCTTATTGGTATCAGTTGGGAAAAAGAGATCAATTGTTTTATTCCAATGGATCGAGGGGCATATTTGCAAGTTCTTTCTGTTTAACAGTCTGACTGCAGAATAAATAAAAAAAATAGGATTATTTTCCTTTATCTCTCTTTAAGTTTTATGTTTAGTCTAAATTCATCTATTTTATTTTGCACTAAAATGGTGGTCTGATCTTGATGTGTATTCTATTATTATTGGATTACAAGGAGGGGATGAAAGAATTACCGAGGTTAAAGAAGATAAAATCCGAAAAGAAAGCCAATAATTTTTTGGTACGATAGTATCACTTTTGATCTTTCAAAGATATTCTCCATTATCTTGAGCAAACACTATAATAAAGAGAGGATGAGCATTTTTTAATATACAATTATACTATACTCCTAGTCTTTGTCAACTTTTTTTTATTTGTCCCAAAAAATTGTCACTTTATTTTTAAAGTAATGAATTTGTGACTATTCATTTCTCTTCCCTCTGCACAAACATCAATCACACAATTCGTGATTCATATGACTATATTTAAATTTCACACCCAACATCAATTTGGTAAAGTTGAGTAGGACAGAGTTAGTATTTTTTTTAGACGAGCAGATTGTGGAAGATAACATGTAATTTCTCTTTGTTCATTAAGTGTTACTCTCTTTGTTCCGTAATTAACTCGTATTTCGACATTGCACGGAGATTAAGAAAGTATAAATTATGTAGCATATAGTTGTGCAAGTAATAAAAATCATATGAATCAAATTTTCTTATCCAAAAGAAAAGAAGAACTTAACTAGGCTGGTATGGGCTGCTGTGTTAGGGACCATCAGGGACATTTCTATATGGCCATGTCGGAATGGTGCAAAGCATCTCTCTCGCCGGTAGAAGCAGAGGTATGGGAACTCCGTCAAGCAATGAGTTGGATGCAAAACATGAATCAGGAATAGGTCATCTTCGAGATGGATTCTAAACAAGTAGTTCAGGATGTGCATTCAGCTCGGGAGGATATTTCAGAATATGGTTCGCTTCTAGAGGACTGCAAATCCCTACTAACAACAAAAAACAATTTTAAAGTTGTTTTCACTAGACGAAAAGCAAATAGTAGCGCCCATGCTTTAGCTAAGAAGTCTATTAATTATGCTTCTCGTACGATCTTTAATCATGTTCCGTCTTGTATTTTGGATATTCTTAATGAAGAAATGAATTAAAGTCTTTTTTTCAAAAAAAAAAAAACTAGGATGGACACGAATTTATACATTTTTGGACAGTTGGAGTATATTCTGGATATGACACACTAACCATTCACGTACTTGCGGAGTAGTAGCATTTCAAGGCACCTCCAGGGGTGGATGAACCGATGAAGTACAACCCCACAATACTATTTCCCCACATGGGTTCCTTCATTCCTTGATTTCTTCTGCTGTCCCATCATATGCTCTTATTGTATTTGCCTAATTGGTTTGTTTCACTTTTGATATCTTCGTTGGTAATATATACTCTGTACTTACATTTACATTGCCTGTGTTACATACTTACATTCTATGTATATATTAGCAATATTCTCTAAATGACTAAAAGATACTAGTGCATTTTTTATCAAAACATATTGAGGTACTTTTCACACCAGAACGGTATAAAAATA